ATTTAACAAATTGCCATATGACAATGAAAATATGTTTAAAATTATAATATTTATTTGTTTTAAAACTGAAATACTTGTCATATATATCTGTAATGGAAATTAATAACAGAAATGGCAAGATATACCATATTTAAATTGACGACAATAATTTTCGAAATAGTAATCAGTCATAATTCTTAGATTACAATATTATTAATATATTTCATTTCCACGTACGTAAAATATGGTACTATATTTTTAGATAATACTATTAAAATATTGATAATTTTAAGTAAAAATCAATGTTAATGACAGAAAACAGCAGACTTTATTACAACGTTTATAATACAGCAAGTAGAAATGAAATGACTGTTAACAAAATGTCATCAATTTTTATATCTAATCGAAAAGTGTCACTGCTAGCAGAAACTGAAAGAAAAAAAAAATCATTGAGTATGATTAATTAATTTCATCTGAATTAAGAAAAATCAAGTTGTATAAATTTCAATTTAAAGAAAAAAGGAAATTTTTTATTGATTTATTCGACAACATTTTTCAATTTTTTTTTTCAATTTTTTTTTGCATCCGAAATTGATTTTTCTTTTTCTCAGAAATTACGAGAAATTCATTTCCAACATTGCTTCCATTATCATCGAACAATAATATGAGAAATTATCAAACAAAGAGTAACTTATCATATTACTTTAACTGAAATTGAATCCTTTACAAATTCAACTTTTGCATTATTAATTATACTTTGAACAAATTTTTTGAATAATTTGCAGACTTAATGAAAAATAACAAATTTCAAATAAATTAAAAGAAGTTATTAGTTTTGATAGTGTTTTAATTTTCTCTCGCATTATTAGGATCAAATTTTAATTTAGCGTTGAAAATTCTCACTTCGGTTGAATTTATTTTCTGCAACAAAAATTTAGAATCAGTCAATAAAGGAAATATATTGGAAATCGTTTAATGATCAATAATTAAGCTTAATATGTGAAATTTAGCTCAGATTCAAATTTTATGTTTAAAAAATTTGTTAGTAAAAAAATGGAAAGCTACCGTTCTACCATTAATATAATAATATTTTATCAGTATATTGGAATAGATCAACAATAAATGAAGTATTTGCAAATTTCCAACTATTTTTTGAAAATTTCTAACTTATTTTGCTAATGTAAATGATAATAGTAATAAATAATAATTTTGCAAATTCACAATGTTGTCAACTTAATCGATATTTTGCTGTTTTTTTTTCTAAAAAAAAAAATTTATTCAAACAAGTTTTATTAAATCCATGCAGTAAAGTGAAATTGAAATAAATAATTGCCTAAAATTATAAATGATATGCAATTATATCTAAACTGCAAATTTTTGATATGCACTTATAAGTTTGAATAATTTGAAAAACTTATAGAATATACTGGTGAATTTATTTTTAATACGAATATTTTTCATTTTCCAACTCTTTTTTAAATGAAAATTATTATTATTATTATTATTATTATTATTATTATTATTATTATTATTATTATTATTATTATTATTGCTTTTATTAACAAAGCGGGTCACCACTAGAGTCCTACTAAATTACACCCAAATTTAAATTTGCTGCAGAATAAGCCTATTATTAAATAGATTATCAATTAAACTTTTCTGCAATTAAATTAATTTGTTAAAATTGAATTTTTTTTAAAAGTTTAACTTTGTAGATAATGAAAATATTTCATTAATTCCTATGTATATAATACTATTAAAATTTGTAATGCTAAAAGAACTTTCCTCCTAGGGATTCTTTCTAAAACAAACTTATTAAATAAAAAAAAAAAAAAATAGAAATTTGCAGAATATAAGATATTCAAACCACAATAATTAATATTTTAAAATTACTCTGAACTAAAATTTGAAATTTTATTGCAATTAATTTGTTCATTTTATTACTAAAATTTTATTTTGCATTTGCTATTTGCAAGTAATTAAAAAGCAAAATTAAGGTTTGTTTCTCTAGAAGAACATTTAAATTAACATAATATTTGTGATTATTGGAATTATTTTTCTAAAATTCATTAATTACAGTAATGATTTCATTTTGCTTATGTAAAGTTTTACTGTCATTTGCTTTTTTTATTTCTCCAAAATCACAATGTATTGTTGTCATTACTGTATTATCCAATTAGCATATCATCTTGCACTTATTTAAATTTTGTTTTTATTTTTGAATTTACCTAAACTAATGTTCACTTTTAATTCTTATTTCATGATGAATACATTTGAGAAATTGCAGTAAAATGCAAATAAAATTTGATCATAAGCAGTTATTATGAAAAATTGAAATACAAAGTTGTTGATTATCACTTAAATACTTAATTGATTGCAGCTAATCAGAACATATTGTAATTATTTACAATTATATTTCTTACTTCCATAATAAATCGATAATCAATCATTGTTATAATTAATATAATTAAACGGTTGTTCACTAATAGTTTATTTTACTACCACTATTGCAATTCCTATTTTGCTGAATATTATATTTAGATTGAAGTTGAATTTTTCCTGCTATCTTAAATCCGTTTTCTTTTTCCTCCTTTTTCTTCTACTGAAATTGGAAACGATAAAAACCGATTAACAAAAATGATACTAAAATCAGAATCGGAATGCTTCTGTAATTAAATCTAACCTATGCAACATCTAATCTTTCTTATGTATCGAAGCTTATGTAAACATAGATTCAATTACGTAAAAATCAAAATGTTTACATATAGAGAAGGAAGCATAAATGAATCAAATTTAATTACTAAAATATTTCAATAATATTTTTTTTTTTTTTTGCAAAAATTGAATTGAATTTGTTAAAATTTATTTAATAATCGACAATATATACATGTTTTTGAAAAAAATGATTAGTTACTTCACATTTTTAACCAAAAAAATTAAAATTGTTTATTTAATAATTGCTTTAATATTTATAATTTAATTTACCATTTATCTATATGTTTTCTTTCATTAAATTTATCTAACATAAGGTTATATTGTTGATTTTTTTTTTTTCGGATAAAATATAAAAATGCAGTAAAAAAACAATATTTATTTGCATATTTTCATATATTATTTAATTGCTACGTTCATTTTTTCTTTTTCTGTGTGTACGCTTCCTTTTACCAATTGTTGGAATTAAAATATTTGAAAAACAAAAATAAAATTAGCTCAAATATTCAATGAAATTTTAATTCTAATTTCATTAAATTTCAACGTTAGTTTCACTTATTAAAATTGATTTCATCAAATCTTCCACGTTAATTTAATTTATTAATTACTAATTTCAATTAGAGAAATTTTCTTTTTTCTTGTGTTAAATACTTGAAAAATCCTTTAACAAAATTAGAATATGATAGGATGACCGAAAGTAAATACTGCATATTAAAATGAAATAGGTGAAATTGAAAAAAAAAAGTAATAAATATAAGTGCAAATAAAGTGATATATGTGAAGCAAAGCAACTAATAATTTTGAAAAGCTGAAAAATAGCGGAATAAATCGAAATAAAAAAAAAATTTTTTTTTCAAAAAGAAAATTATAATAATAAGTTAGGAAAAAACAATTAATTCGAAAATGGAAATAATAAATTCATCAATTAAATAATAAATCCATTAATAAAAAAACCATAAATTTGAAAATAAAATAATTACTGATTTGGAAAGTTTAAAAAAGAAAATAATAAATTCAATTTTGAATTAATTAATAAAATTAAAAAATGAGAACGTAAAAAAGAAATAAAAAAAACTTTGTATGAAAAAATTCCCATACATTATTAACTTTATCTTAAATGTACGCACTTTTCCGCTTTGTAAATATTTCTTTGGCGCTTTTATTTTTGCCGCAAATATTTGGTTATGGGAAAATAGTATCGATGAAAGATAGAATTAACAGTATCTGTTTAATTTCAACTCTCTCTCTCCCTCTTTCCCTCTCTCTCCCTTTCTCTGTCAACTTTCCTTATATCGATGACCTATCCGCTTAATCCAACTACTTTGTCATCTGTCAACCATTTAAAGTAGCAATCATTTATATACTGTGCTGAAGAAATTTGCTTAAACATTTTTCATTTTAAAATTTTCATTTATAGTAAAAAAGAAAAAGAAAATTAAAAGAAAGAAAGATAATAATTATGACACATGTGTATTGGTCATTTAAAAACTCAAAAAAGAAAATTTCATAAATTTTTAAAATCGTTCAAATGGTCAGTTAATGTTGTTTAGCGTTTACTCGGATTAAACGAAAAGGAAAAAGTCCAAATATTATTTGTACTGTATTCCATATTATAAAGTAATGTTTTAATTAAAAAATATTTTATAAATTCTTGAGTTTTTTAAATTTTGAATATTTAAAAAAAGTAAATATTGTTGTTTTTTTTTTTTTTTCAATTTACTCAATATATTTTTCCCATTTTATGTATTCATCAATCATATTTCAAAAAAAAAAATTTTTTACTTACAGTGTAAAATGTTATTTACTTAAATTACATAAACATAAAATAAACAAACTACAATATAATACATAATGCCTAGAAAATGTATCACTTGTTGCCTGGAAAAAAAAATTTTAAATTACATTGATTTTTTTTATTTATTTACTTGTTTATTTTATTTATTTACTTATTTATTTATTGAAAATAAGAAAAGAAAGAAGGAAAAAGGAATGGCTTTGTTCATATTTAAACAAAGCATTGGAAATTAAACTAAATCACTGAACCATTTTATTTGCCTAAGGATTTAAAAAAAAAAAAAAAAAGATAAAAGATTCTCTAAGCTATTCTTTCAATCATTTCACTTAGATCTGACGAATAACAGAGCTACCAATGGGCGGGGATAATTTATAAACTATTAATAATAACGATAACAATAACAATAACAACAACACAGCAACAACGATAATAACAACCACAACAAAATTAACAATAATAGCAATAACAACAAGAAGTTTAATTTTGGTATTTCATTTCAGGTTAATGAAGACAAATGATGCCAAATTATGGTACCAATGAAAAAGTGCATGAATTAGTTCAAAATAAAATTTCATCCATTACTTCAAGAGCAACAGGTAAATGTTGAAATTTTTTAAATTTTCAATTTCAAATTAGAAATTTTGGAAATTTTCAAAAAATAAAGAAAAAAAATGAATAGAAAAAAAAAATGATAAATAAAGCATTTTGTTTTTCTCCTTCAAAAAAATATCATTTAATCTATCATTTAAAATTTTTTCTAAAAGTTTTATAACTAAATGATATTTTAGTTAAATGATATTCTAATTATAAAAAAAAATACTGCAATTATAGAAGTTGAATTGAATAAATAATAAATGAATTTTTTAAAATTAGTATTGGAATTTTTGATCAAATAATATTCTAATTACTACTTACACTATTTTATTTATTTTTATGATAATCCATTCATATCTGAAATCACAAATTATTAGTGAACTGATTGAGTTTTTTGAATGATTTTTTGTTTTTTGATAGCGAATAACTCTGCATTGTTATATAAATTTTCTTTTTTTAACAACAAATAATTGTTGAAATTTGATCTCTTTTGAAATTAATTAATACAAATAATTAATTATTGATAAGTTTAATTGATTATTTTTTTTCTTGTTTATCGCTGTACTTTTCAGATATCAAATAATTACTGAAATTTTACCACTTTTGAGATTAATTAACCTATGCAAATAATTATTCATTGAAAACTTTAAGTGGTTGATTGTTTTTTCATTTTCGATTATTGAAAAAAATTTTTTGGGACAACTTTTCTAATTTTTTTCTTTTTTTTTTAAAGGGACATCTAGCATTGAAATAAATCAACTTGGCGGTGAATTCATAAATGGACGTCCACTTCCGCTTCGATTACGTTACAAAATTATTGAATTAACAAAAGATGGATATCGACCGTGTGACATTTCACGACAATTAAAAATTTCACATGGTTGTATTAGTAAAATTTTATCACGTTATGCAGAATATGGTACAGTAATGCCAGGTACCGTAGGTGGTAGTAAACCACGTGTTACAACACCTGCGGTATGTTCAAATCTTTTTTTTTTTTTTTTAATTTTATTTTCAAAAATAATAAATTATCAATGAGTAACTGAATAAATTTAAGTAAAGATCTTTCTCAGCAAAGAACAAAGAATGCTTTGATATATTGTTCACTTTTAAATATTTTATTTTTGCTTTCAAAAAGAAACAATTTTGATAAACAAATAATTTACAGAAAAAAGAGGCAAAAATTTTTACTTTGCTAACTTCTTTTTTTTTTTTTAATTCTTGAAATTTTTATGTCTTTTTTTTTTCAATTTTTGATACTTTTTAATATCATAAACTTTTGTTTTAGCATTTTTTTTAAGTGCTATTTTATACATATATTTTAAATTTAGCACAATTATTTAACAGTAAATAACTATTTTAGGTAGTTGAATACATAAATTTTTTAAAACTTCGTCAACCGCGAATCTTTGCCTGGGAAATTCGAGAACAACTATTACGCAATAAAATATGCCACAAGAATAATTTGCCATCTGTGAGTTCTATTTCTAGAATTCTCCGAAATAAACACAGCACTACAAGGAATGACTCATGTTATTCAGCAACTTGTAAGTAAATAACTACTTTAAATTAAAAAATTAAATAGATTATTCAGAATCATTTTCTTTATAGAAGAAAAAGACAGAAAAAAGATAAGAAATTAGTGTATTCTGCTCGAATTTTATACCTTAATTTGTATTAATTAGTGCTAAGCTATAAATTGAAATCTTCATTTTATTTTTAAAATAGTTAAATTACTTTTACATAAAACAAAAAACATTTTGTCATTATTCCAATTTTACATTCTCTTCATTATGATTATAAGTTATACCAAATAGTTATAATTTATTTATCGTCAAAAAAAAGGAAATTTTTTGTATTAGGTTGTAAAGTTAAAATAATACTGCTATTTTGACATTAAAAATTTTTTCATCTCTACATATTTTAATTCATCTTATTTTTTGTTTCTTAGGAACTGAAATGCTCTCAAAAGCTTTACAATATAATTAATTTAATAATTGAAATAATCGCACAATGATGTAAATAAAGATGAATTAACATAATTAAAGAGTTAAATATTTTAAGCATCAAAAGCATTAACAACGAATGATGGCATATCAACAAATCATTTCTTTTCATACTCACAAATGTTATCAGAAGGAGTAACAAATGAATGTAATTGGTTGTACAACAACAATGATAATAATAATGAATCATCTCAAATAATTCAGCATACATTTGGTAAGTGATAATTCATAAGGAAGTTTGTGAGGTGAGAAAGATATTTTTGGGGAAAGAACAATTTAATTAAAATGCATTCATTAATATATATGGTACATATATTGCAAAATTATTAGAAAAAAAAAAGGTTTTAAGTTTATTTCAACTCTCTTTTTTCTATAAAAGCAACAGAATTGGATGCAAAATAATACTAAAGAAAAAAAAAACAACCACAAATATTTAATTAGTACAACCAACTTCGTATATATATATATAACTTTTTGAAATTTAAAAATATTAAGGTTGAATTTTGTTGTGAAATTAAAATGCTTCAATTTTTGGATTTAACGAAATGTCGCATTTCAAATTACTTCATTAATAGCAGAAATCTTAAGTGATATCACCTTTTCTACAAATTTTTTTAATATATATCGTAATTAACATCATTTATTTCTTTAAATTATAATGATTTAATTTACAGATCCTGATTTAATGTATGCCGATTGTACGATGAATTGCGACAATATACCAATTAAAAGATCATATTGTAATATTCCATCATACAGAAATCATTTTCCAACTGATAGTATTAATAATATTAATAGGATATGGTAATAGGATATTATTAGAAAAAAAAGTTTTGCGTTTACTTTCATTTTTTTCCTAGAAAAGTAACACGACTTGATGCAAAAATAATGCTAAAAGAAAATAACCATATATATTTAAATCAGTGTAACAATCTTCTTTTTTTATTGATATATTTACTGCTTATATCATGAAAGTCTTATTGCAATAAAAAATTATGAAAGTTTTGTAAATTCGTTTGCATGGCTATTTACAGCCTTCTTATTGCCAGCTTAATTTTAGAAAAAACTCAAATTCCGCAAATACAAGAATTAAAATTAAGGAAGCCTTAAACATTTTTGCACTGTGATATAAATGGGGTATTTAAACAGTGAAGAATTATTTATAATGAAAGGTAATGTTACCAAACGTACAAACAAAATACAAGAATATCACGTCCACGATGAAAACTATTTCAAATATCTTATATAGAGATCTGAGTTAACACGTAGCCTGAAACTATTTGTAGAAATGGGCCCAAATACAAAGAGACATATCATACATACAAAATATTCAACATAGGTAACTGTAATCAATTTATCACAAAAGTCAACTATTTTGAATAATTCACTGACTAGATATAATCAAATTTGCCAACCGTTTCATTCTGTTTTTTTGGCAGAAGAAAAGACATTAATATCACCGAACAAGATAGTGGCTCGTTCTTTGTCTAAAAGTTCCGCATTAAACAATGACAGACGCAGCATTCCATTCCTTCAAAAAATAACAATAAATATACAAATCAAAACAAAACACAATTAAGCGATATCTTAATAAGAAGTTTGGGAAGATATCAAATCCCTTACTTCTAGTTGCTCATAATTCAGTAAGTAAGTCCTTCTCTTTATCAAGTTCACTTGATAAAATCCGAAAGTACTGAAATCGTAAATGGTATTAACGAAATAACTTTGTGCTGGACACAGGAATCCTTAAATTCAAAATCACTTAGATTTAGATCACTCCCCAAAGTCAAATGGGATATTTAACAAAATGAGCGAATTTTAATTTTAATATGAAGTCCACATACGATGAATACTGTCGAAGCCGAATAACTTTGTTGTTGATGCCGGTACTTAATTCATTAAGCGGTATTACATCATCTACTTTCATGTATTTATTACATCTCGTCCCCCAAAATGACAAATATCCGACTCGTATATACTCGTTTGTTTCGTTCATCGAAATCACACCTATTAAGCCATTGAAAAATCTGAAAATTCTCACTGCTATGAAATTTACAACATTAATAAAGGTAGGATAATTGTGAATAAATGACAGCTAGGAATACAAACATGACTATTACGCATCTACGTATATAGTTAGGACTCTAGTTATTCAATTAAGATAAATGTGTGTTCTAATCATCAGTTTCTCTCAGCAGATCTTACATAATAGTGAGGATTTACCTATTTAACTTACCTATTTAGTTTTAGTTTAAATATACTAATTAATACAGACACCTGCAAAAGAAGATAAATGCTAATGTTGTGAATGAGGCGAAAGCCGAAATGGATATGAAATGATCAATGGATACTGTATCATCAAGATACTGCCAGTATTTATATGGTATCAATGATACACTTGATATTGTTAACGCGAGTTTCACTTTCGTAGCCATAACAGAATAATGAATTCCTCGAAAACGATAAACTGGAATCCTTAAGTAAAAAAGATGTTTAAATAATCATTTATATTTAGTTAGAAAATCACTGGATTTATCATCATTACACTTCCACATAATAAGAGAAATAATAATGATAATTATGTCAACCAAGTGAAATATCACAGCCGGAAAAAAAAAAAAAAAAAAACGTATGAAAGCTCCCACATTTTCTCAAAAATTAACTACAAAACAGTTTTCACCAAAAGGTTAGGATGACAGAAAAAAAAAGTCAAACTGTCAAGACTTTAATAGTCAAACAAAAAGTCAATCTTTAATAAGCATCGAAGAAAAAAAAAGTTACCAAACTTCATCCTTAAGAAACTCATTCAACGACTTCGGTGATGACGCTGCTCCTGTCCCCGATGACAAATGACGAACTGAACAACTCCCTAACCTTTGCAGTAATTCTTTACGTTCATACGGATTTACCGTATGTTTAAATCCACGATGCATTCCATTTTTACGTTGCGTCCGATTTCGATGCGAAAGACGTATAGCAGCTGCTGTTGGCGTTGACCCCTTTCGTGCTAATGATTCCATTAAAGCACGACCAAATATTAAACCTTGTAGTAATACCATATCTATAACAAATGAAAATTACAACTTAAACTATAACCATCTCTTATAAAGTTTACTTTACAAACATTAGTAACATATGAATTCCTCTAAAGCTATTTAACCAGTGTTTAGCATACTTACATCTTCTCACTTCTATATGCATAATTATAATATCATCAACAATCTCTCAAATTCTTCTGCACTATTTATGTAATTATTTCAATTAACCGCTGATTATATAACTCATCTTTTATAAATTTACCGATATTGCTGAAATTAATGAGTATATATGTAAAAGCTAAAGAAAACTACACATGAAAATCAAACTGGAAAAGTGAAAAAGCAATAGTAGACGATTAAAAAGAGAAGTACTTAGAAAAGAATGACGATAGATGAAAATGTCAACTATGAATTGGTCCACACATACATTAATTGCATTGGCTCTGAAGCACGATACATTTTTTTATTTGAAAACTTGTGTTCAGTGCTTTCTCGTTTTAGTCTTATCTTTTGACAGCTTTTGAGCTAATTCAACAGAATGAGCAATTATTACTAGTAAAAGTCTTTTTTTGAAAATAAGATATTATATTACAGTCGTAAAAAACATTATCATTATTGAAATGAAGCAAAGCATTACACAGTAGAACATTTATAATTTTTACAACAAATAATTCTGGTAACATAAGAAAAATAATTAAAAAATCCATTTAATGGATTAAGAGATACTCAAAGCATCAACAATCATTACTTAACACAGATTTTAATAAATAATGCACTTTAATAATCAATGCAATCACTGGTTCTTTTCTATCAACATTCAGCTAACTTTGTAGCTGTACATACAGAAGTTGACAAGAAATAAATCAGACATCAGAAATAATTTCGAATAAACCGGGAAATTAAACGAATCCAGAATGGAACGAAATGGTCACGTTGTAAGAAAGTTGCAGCATCCACTTTTGTTGTATAATCCAATATTCGCGAACACTCCTTGAAAAATTTTGTTGAATCATACAAAAAGGAAGATCAAAATTCAGTGTTACAGAAATACTGGCTTTACATCTGAGAACAGAACTATCAAAGTCGCCAACTATTTAACAAATAACACACAATCCGCTCTTATCATTTGCTTGATCAATACCACAAGTAAAACCTACCTCCTGCAGTCCTCTTTTCAATTTCTCACTACAGGTAGTTATAAGGAACTGCGCTTCGAGATCTCGATGTACAGATCGATGACCTGCAAAATTTGCATGAAAATATTCGCTATATGCAAAACATTTGTATAAACCTTTGACACAAAAAATATCTTTTGAAAGCTGCCAAAACTAGATTTAAAAACTTTTAAGTTTTTTAATGACTTATAAATAAGCAAAATTAAAATATCAAGTTCAAAGTAATTTCCTACACCACACTAACCTTTACAAAAATCTACTCTGCCATAACAATTTGCCAAAAACTTCTGCATTTATTAAAGAAAAAGGATGAATAAAGTGGAAACACAACCTAATGTTTCAGGAAACAAGCAAAATCGAAAAAAGATTATATATATTGAGAAATTAGGCGCTAATTAGATGTTAATACTGTTTATTAAAGAAAATGTAGCAATTTCAAATATAACCTGTCAACTCAAACCGTCAAACTCACTGTTAAAAACTAATTAAATTCCGTAACTTCTGAAATCAAAAACACACCGAAATTGGATGAGCCGATTATAGTAGCTGAAAGCGATGACTGCTTGGAATCAATCCATAGACCTTTTGCGTGATAGGTCCATCCTGGTCTATTATATTCGAACATTCGAATAGTCGAACCCACTATTTTATAGAAAAGATGTGATATATGAACGTACATCAGCGGAATGAAACCAAACAAACCGGATGCTTGATAGAATCCATTTGCCTAAATTCAATTATTTGTATAAATAAATAAGTGAATGCTAATAAAACTGGTCAAATAATTTCTAACTTGAGGTGATGCATAAATGACATCCATTTCGAAGCAATTTTGATTTGATATGAGATCAATGTAAGTGTCAGTGAAATTAAAATAGCCCGATGATATTGTTAATGATAATTGATGATTCTGAAAAATTACAAAACTGTGTATTTTAAAGACAGGTTGAATAAAGAAAATGGAAGTACAGAAACTCGGTACAAATGCAAAAAATCGAATCTACAAACCTGCATGGATAACAATTTTTTTAAAAACTTGAATTCCTGATTGATCGACACGATGCCCATTTGTAACAACGGATATATCCGTGTACCAGTAGAAAAACGGTTCCCCAAATCACATTCTTTGCTAAATGCATTCAGCGTTGACATGACTCGATCGTACAACATACTCTTATATGCCTCATGACTCCCTGAAATACGCAATGAAATTTGGGATCAAGCATAAAAAAGTAATTTAATAGCGACTGAAACTGACAGGAAAAAAGAAAGAAAAAAAAATTTAGCAATTGTTATAAGAATTCTTAGAAGAAAACTACTCCCTGATACTAAGAGATATAACAAAATTAGAGCCAGGATTTTTTACCTGTTTAGAAAGTACAGTTTGAGTTATTGTGCTACATTCGGTAAAAAGCCAAATTTCAGTGGTTACTTCAAATATCCTAATAGGTTAAAATAAAAGTTGTGCTGATAAATGACATAGAAACTAGTGATATTGCTGCTCATGAGTAAATTAGTTTATTTTGATATGAATGAACTAATGTTAAAATTAATATTAAACCTTTAAAAGGATGAATATCGCATCTTTTCGCTAAACTGGTAGTTCCTTGCGTATTCAACATGAATGAGCATGATCCAACAGCTTCAACCAATGAATCAATAAAATTTGCAAGTTGCGGACAATTCTCAATAACTATATATCTATCCAATCGATTTGTGAAATAAATGTCTGAAAGATTAGCCCTGAAAATTAACATATTATTTTCATTTCAGTTTTCGTGGCAATAATCGTAACATTTCTTTCCTTGCTTGCCTTTTAATATGTGTCCAAAAATCACCAAAAGTGAACAAAATTAAAAACTTTTTTTTAAAAAATTGTTAGAAGCTATCGTGTTGGAAGATATCCCTTCCCATAACTTTCAGTATAACCCAACTAGTTTCTTACTTTTCCGCAAACTTTTAAGCCAGTCATTATCCTAAGTTCACATCAGTCAGAAAACTTATGAGAGAACAAATACCGGTTAACACATGACAATCAATTCCCAAATTAACTGTTGAAAACATCTTATTCTTTTCTCAATCGAATTTTCGTGGTCGCTCTCAAATATCAAAGCAGTTTTGATTAGACATATGCAAATTTACCCGGTAAAGATGATATGATTGTCGAATACTAAAAGTTTCATATGTTGCAAACCGATCACTTCATTCACTTTTTCAGGCAGCACCATTTTCTTCAAACCACGCAAACAAGGTGTATGGAATAAATACACTGATGCACGAGGTGTCAGTCTTTTAAAATTTCGATAAAGAAAGGGCTGAATTAACATAAACTATTGAATAGCAAAGTGATAAAAAAAATCAAATCGTTCGTTGCATTAGAAAAAGATATCTACAGTTATTATCTTAAAATGTTTGAGGACTCATATTCTTAGTGTATTGCACTACGAATACTTTGGTATAGCAAAGAATTCTTTAATGCTTCAGATGCGTTTTCCTTTCTCGCTACAATGCATCCATACCTTTTTAATAACACGATTGAATTGCTTTCTGTTGTACCACGTGTACCTCTCAGACAATCCACAAGGATATTCATTTTTAAACTTGGATTCATAGCCAATGCTTTCTCCAATTCGTCCACCTACAATATACAAAATACTTTTTTTGAATCCAAAAAATTTAATTACTGTCTTTCTAAAATTACAGCTAATGTCTCATCGTCATCTTACAAAACCTCACAAGTCTTCATTACAAAATGTAAGACTGGACCAATTTTCTTTACAAACCTCAACTTCAAGAGTGTTTAGGGACTTAAAGACAGAGCCAAACACTTTGAAAGTTTTGAACTGTTATTACTCTTTAATAGCTGCAGAAAAAATACCAGAGCTTTTTCATAACTGCCGTTACCGAAGTATAAGGTTGAGATTATGATTCTTTCTTTCGCTTCTCGAATCAAGCACTAAAATACAATACGATATATCTGGCAAATAAATGCATACAAAAAAAAAAATTTTCTATCTTCAAATGTCAGATATGCGGAATCTTTCCCTCAACACAAATGAGATGTAAATTCGTGACAAGTTCAAAAACATCAATTTCTCAGAACAAAATTCGCGAGTTTTACTTTACCAGTAATTTTTCGTAAAATTCCGTTGGAGTTTTAATTAATTTTATCTTTTCCGGATCAACTTCTACATAAGGAGCATTTTGGGGAAGCCATTCAAGTGTATCGTAATTTGCTTCATTCAACTCTTCCATCCCTAAAAAAACACATACACACATATGTAGAAAAAAGTGAAACAAAGACTATTTGTGCGATTACAAATTGTAAACAATTAAAACATTAACAAAAGTGACTATTCACAAACAAAAAAAAATTATAGTACGTGAGACGTAACACATCAAAATAATTATTCATTATAATATATATTTCACTATAATAAAATGTTTATTTGCTATAAGCGTAATATCTTTCAATAACACTTAGCGTATAAAAATAGCACATCACGTATGGTGGTGTTAAAGTATCTATTAGTTAATATTACGTACGTTTGAAATGCTGTCCACATGTAAAAAGTTAACAAAAAAAAAAACCAAGGAAAAAGCATTACCACGCTACCACCACGTTTTCACATTTAACATGTGGACTCATGAAAATTTTCGTCTCACTACGTATGATTTAACTCTTAATTTTGGAAAGGGAATCGGTGTTGTTGTCATTGTTGGTGGTGGTAATTCTATTTTTACTTCTTCTTAATATAATTTATCTTTCTAGCATGCCTCATTTTGTCTATTACTACATTAAGATCTATTTGATGTTAAATTAATGAAATCGTTAATTAAATAATTCTTTGTACATTTTGCTCTTCGTTGACAGGTCATTACTTGTCGTACTTGCTAAATTAGCTGCCATTTGGAGCTTTTCAGGTCTCCATTATGCCTTAATTAATCTTTGTTAATTAGGTTTCTTTGGACACTGGAATATTAAAGTTGTCTTGATAAAAATAAATGTTTTAGATTAATGACATTGCACTCATTTTCTCTTAAAAAGTCATTTAACTTTCATTGTAACTATTTCAGGTCAATTCAAAATAATCGATTGATCGTTTAAACTGGGCAACAGTTGTTGAAAATATGAGCGATGCCGATTTTAGTGATGGAGAGGTAAAGTTCATAATGCTTCAACTCTTTTACTAATCAAGAATTGCATTATAATTGTGTCATTTTTATTATTTCAAAATTTTGAAATGAAGAATTTACAGAATATGTTAAAATTTATCGTAATATTATAATACTGGTTTTAACTTCATAAACCGCTACTAATTATGATATTACTAAATTTGGTATTGAGTTTGAACTCTTCACTAAGTCCTTAAAAAAACATATTTCATTCAGTAAAGTTAGATGTAATTGGTTTCTATAATATTTAAGCTTAATACTTATGTGATTACAATGATTTAGGATGATAGTGCAATAAATGCAACATCTACAGTGGATAGTAAGCGGCATGCTCGTGCACAGCATAATGCTTTAGAACGACGTCGTCGTGATAATATCAAGGATATGTACGGTGCTTTAAAGGATACTATTCCTGGGATGCAGAATGAAAGAGTATATTTCTTCTCTTTCCACTTTTTTATCATATTTTTTAGAAAAAATTTGCGGCACTTATCTTTTATTATAAGAATGACATTTATATTTGAAGATTCGATTAGTATTGCTATACAACAGTTAGCTATGTAATGATATACAATTTACACTTTATTCGTGATCCATTCGTCATGTAGTGTTTTATTTTGATGATGTTATCATTGATATGATTAAGTATGCTTATCAACAGTTAAATTTCTAGGCTTCACGAGCTGCTGTTCTGAAGAAATCAATCGATTTAATAACCTCAAAGCAGGCTGATTTGGAGAAAATTTTAGCGGAAAATCAAAAACTGGAACAAGAAAATAATGTGTTGGAGCATGAAATTGAACGATTGAAACAAGCAGTCGAAAGTCAAACTACTGAAACGGTATAATTCTATTTTCTTTGACAGTTGGATTGTTATGTTATATAACTCGTAAGTCATCATTAAACATCGACTTGGATGTTATTATGACATAGATTAAGAAGAAAGTTTAAAGGTGAGCATGCTAATTATCAAAAGATGCATTGCAATAAACGATTAGACAATCTTGATGTTATTCTCTGTAGCAGATTATAGTGCGAAGTTTGATAAATTTTCTGTGAAATACTTTGGGAATGATTACCGTTGTTTTATTTTCAAATAGTTTTTAATCGAAAATTTTCAAATAGTTTTAACCGAAAACTTTCAGCTTTTCCTTTACAATTCAGTGTTTTCTCCTCGCCTTACGTCTTTAATTTATTTGCAAATATAAATTTAAATCACTAATATTTCTTTTATTGTCACTGCATTTATGTTATTAGGTATCCGATGATACAAATCGACGGACCAATAGAGATATGTTAGGAAATGATGTAATATCCGGAAATGATCCTTCTCAGTTGAGTTCATATTTTACTCTTCCAAATCGTAAACGTCCAGCTCCAACTGATGATCAACGTACAGTTTCAAGAAATGCCTAAATTTATTCTGATAAATTATTAGTTTTATATTTTGTACAGTGTTGTGACATTTCTTGTTAGTGTTGAACAGGTTACATAGTCGGTAATGGTTTGTTGAAAAATTTTCTGAAAGCATGAACTGATACTACTCTCTACTACAATTCTCGTTTGATTTTTGCGAACTGTTTAGGATGCAAGTTTTTACAGCTAATTCTATTTACAACTGTTATTTCACTGTCATTGTTGGTCTATTTTCCTTTGAAAAGTTTCTGTTTTATGCTTAGAATGCCAGTGTCTTGAGAAATGTTGCTTCATGCATTTCCCGTTGAAAGATGTTTTCTTTCCTTTCTCGATTAAATCGAAGGTAATGTATGAATGCCTGGAACGTTGCTTTCTTCATACAAAATGTTCGGTTGAGCAGCTATATGTCTGTGAAAATGATCCTATTATACCCAAAAAACAATTACTATTGTGCATGTCTTTTTTGTGGGTCAACACATTATATAGGACCAAGAACAGAAGACAAAAACAAGAAATTTATTGAGAGAAAATAAGACTAATTTCGAAGAGGGCTTGATGACAAACCAAAAATAGTTCCAGATAATAATAACAAGACAAAACAAAAATGACAACAACGAATGGGATTATTAGACGTACACAAGTAGAATACAAGTCATCGGGAGTTCCACCAATGACCTTTCCTGACCTTTGTCCTCCATATAGATACCGTTTGCTTCCATTACCCCGACCAGCTTTTGTAGTGTAGAAGACTTACCATGTCAGTGAAATACAGTAAACGAAACAGGATTTAACCAAGCTTTATAGAGAAATATTTGATCTAGAGAAATTGAAACAATTAAACTTCCTTTAGAGAGACCTCAATAGCGTAGTTGTCGCAAAAGAAATTTGTGGACAAAATAAGTGACCAATTCAATACAAATAAATCAGGAAGACTCGGGTTGAATTCAATCTGTTTGATCAAAATAAAAAAGGAGTTCGAATGCTACTGATTTAGTCAAATTCACCATTGTGGTCTGCCAACTCAATCACTCCTGTACTGAAATAATAACCCATATAGTTCTAGGTAGGTATTGGATGGCCAAAGGTTACACAATAAAATACTAATGTTCCTTTCAATTTTAGCTGAGGTTAGAGTTTTGCTTATAACGAACACAGATTGATTGTCTAAAATGCAGCTCCTGAAAATCAGAAATTTTGATAACATGAAGAAGAAGCCTAAACAAAATACTTAAATTCTCCAGAGTCTCTTAAAAAGAAGGAATTTAAAATAACACTAAAACAAATGCACGTCTAGTACGGTTACTTTGCACTTAACCGATTATTTCAAACGACAAGTAAACCGAAAGAAAAAAACTGAAAGTAGTAAAAGAAGAATGATTATCATCTGGGATCAAGAAAAGCTTCAAAAATGTCAACGAAATCCGCCACGTGCATTATTCTGTGCCTGTTGATTACGACGCATTTGCTCATCGTTGATAACTTTATCAATCATCATACGTCCGTTACGTATGCAGTCCACATCTCCGGTTAAGCTGAAACCATACGGATGTTGATATCTGAGATGCAAATGTAAATTAATAGAACTATGCTTTACAAATATGTTGCCTTTTATATTATCAACAGAATTCCTTCTTCTTTTGTGTTTTCGTTTTAATCATCTGGATATGACAATCATTTCTTTTTGAGAATCAAATTTCCATAGTTCCTGATATTCTCCGCTATTTATCAACACCAAGAAATGCTTTTTCGCGAACAATAAGTTCCTTTCCTTTTTAAATATTGAAGCATTTGTTTGCCTGTTGCTAAGAGTAAGCAAGCCCGTTAAATATGAGGAATGCATTATTACAGGTTCGCTATGACTAATCATTCAAATTAATAGATTAACAACTTTGAGTGCACTGAAACTGTTTTTATTCCATAGTTACGCAGCAAATTTTTCATATTTCATCACCGTACACAACTGTCATCCAACACATCCACCAGTGCTTATTCTCTAATCACTAGTTTTTCAAATTTGACAACTAATTCTACTTTTTATGTTTATCTGAGCAATAAAAAACACTACCTCTATCTATCATCCTAACTTCTGTCAACACAAAAATGTCAATTCCTTCATCAAGTTTCACAACACACTGTTAGTTAAAACATACCTTACAAGACGATTCCCTTGTCCTGCAGCTGTACCACGTTTATGTACTTCCACTTTACAACCGCTTAAATGCTGAATCTCAGCCAGTGTTTTAGCTCTTGGACCGAGGATTGCTCCGACAATGGTATCCGGAATCTGGAAAATCGAAGCCCAATTATGACTAAATGTAAACTGAGATATCCATTTCTGGTTTATTGAAGGCTACTCATAAATTCCTTAACAAAATGAAAAGATTTTGCGCTCACTAAGACATATAACACAGAATTATTCAGAAAGACCCCAAATATCTGACTGTCTGTTGAGTTTAAAGAAAAAAGGCCGCTTGCCCACCTCGAGATCAATATGATTGTTGTCGATAATCTTTTCCTTAATTACGGAAGCGGCAAAATTTTGACCGCTCGATGAGCTACTGTTTTGTTTATTCTGGCTTAATACGTCGATCAGAACGCCACCAACGCCACTCAGTGACTATAAGATATTTCCGTAAGTTTGAGTTCAAGCTTTCAATTTCCGTAAGTAGAATTCCTTTATATTTCTAACTCTTTATAAGCATAGTTCCAAAGTATTACATCCCCAACGACTATCTCGCAAATTAGTTACTTCTTTTATAAATGAATTTTTGCAAATCACAAGTCCGTCATTTTTTGTTACAAAAATCTTCCTGACATTTTTAAATGATTATCAAATGAACTCACGAAACAACATTAACTCATGGTCACGCAGCTTTAGAAAAAAACTGTCAAACATAATACTCTGAATTTCATCTGACATTACTTTACGTTTTGATTTTCACACATAAACTTTTCAGAAAATGTTCCACTATCTTTAATAGCAGTCTTTAATAGCAAATCAAATGTTTTACTAAACGATTACCTACCAACAAACTTCCAAATCCGATATACTTCGTTTTTTCATGTTTTTTGAAACCATCCGTAACTTAGTATCAGACAAGATTTAAAAAATTTAAACCGGCGGATTTAAAATCGCATTATATTGGCTGTATAAGTCAACAAATGACTACTGTAGAGAATATTCCTAACCACTATCTAGGGGGTGAAACAAACACCTCCCATAAAAAAAAGAATCGAATGGAAACTGAATTTCCAGTCGATTAAGAAAACAGTGTAACTATAAATAGAACCAATGTCGAAAAAAAGAAAGCAAAAACCAATAATTAGCGGAATATAAAGCGATATTTAAAAAGGGCGCCTAATGAAAAACTCTAACGAATCATATGCTTGTTCATAAAATAAAAAAAGGCAGAACAAACGCTGCACGAAAGAAATTAATTTTTAATGAAAACTCAAACAAAAATTGTGACCGCTGAAAGGATTGAAAAAACAGTTCCAAAAACTGTCCATGATGTAACATTTATAAGAATCTGAATCTACACCAAAACCACATGAGGCTTACGAACTCAGTTCGCATTTCGTTATACCTGAACTTTCGTGCTAACTAGAAAGAACTGGAAGATACTTCGAAAGAAGTAAAAATTAGCTGTTTAAGCTAGCGCCTAATTGTTCATAGTTCATGACTTAAACTTAACGAGTCTAACGCACCAAATGACCCGAGAATTCCAGAAAATTTGGAATCTTCGGAACAAAATGTTGACCATCCAGAAAGAATCATAAATAATAAACGGGATGTATTAATATGAAACGAAATTAGTGTACTATTTATCTGCATACTGATTTTTACTGGCAATCCAGAAATAGAAATATACTTATCTTTTTTATGAAAAATAAAAAATCACAAAAAGTAATAAAAGTTTCATGACGTTTTTTCGAAATTTAAAGAATGAATGAGTATCAATAGTAGATATCAGCAAGAAATTCAAGACTACAATGAACACAGAAGAAAAAAATTGCTACGAGGGAAAATATATTGAATGAAAACAAGACTTACTGATATATTATATAATGATATGGGAACTTAAACAGAGAAAATGCAAATTGTTAATACAAATAAATATTAAAACAAAAGGAACTTAAAGAGCGATTAAAAAAAAAAAAAACTGATTTCAAAATAATAAAATTAGCGCTCAACGATGATGCCACATAAAATTATTTTGCAGGCTGATGAAAGTAGTTGAAATTACTTGCCAACTACACATTAAAAGTAAAAATTAATGCAATATGACACCGGGGAGCGCGCCACATTACTCGCGTTCACTCTCTTCTATTCCACAACAAAAGATTTATCAGGCATGCATGGCTGATGATAAATAAGAATTTAAACTGAGAATAATTTAGAATGATTCAGAACAAAGTAAATCGTTAAATGATTTAGAACAAAATAACGTTAAAATTCCCTAAAAAAAATAGCATTGATTAGTGCTCAAGAACTTGATGAAGCAGCAGGAATTTATGATAAAATTCAAATTCTACGAAAAATTTCTGCTTGATATAGAAAAGTCCAGAAAATGCAGTCCAAGAAGTTGAAAGGTATAAAAGTTGGAATAAAATTTTCATAAAAAGAGTCCAAGAAGTGACAAAAGATACAAATCTCAAACTGGTAGATTCACAAGCTTCCAAAAAAAAAAAAAAGGAAAAAAAAGAAAACCACTGGTTATTGCTTTATCGATAAAAGAATGATTGTACTTTGCTTAAATCGTTTTGTCCTCCGCCTGATGATGCTCCTGTTGTTCCTCCCGCTGCACCACTACCTCCTGATCCACCACTAAATCGACGATCACCGTTGTCGACTGTAGCAGCCGTACCTGCTAAATTAGTGGTCTCGAATCGCTGCGGCTGTGATAAACCTTGAGATGAAGTCAAAGAGGGAGTTTCATTTGTCCGAATCTGTGCCATTGCGGCAACACCAAGTCCAAGGCCCAAACCCATGATGTTATATTTTGCCAAGATCTGGAACATATTAACCTGGCAAACAGGAAACGATGGATTAGTTGTAGACTAGAGTTGTTAAATCATTAACCAAAATATCAGGAAAAGCAGTGAATGAAAGAAGCAATCAAGCTTATAAAACTTATCTAATAAATACAAAAAAGTATGGAATCTTGTCGAAGACGTTTATACCCTTAATTTGTAAGACTTACCTGCATTGCTTGCATAACTTCCGCTACACTGGTCTCATTGAAGCCAGATGTGCGTAAAGTTGACTGCAAACTGTCCAGGAATGCCAACAACTATAAAATAAATGAAGTTTCCCAAAAATTATGAGGTTAAACACAACATAATGTTTCAGAGCATGATTCCAATTCCACATTGAAGTTATTCATGTATTTGATTTTTTCCATATTCCCCATTTTACGGATTCGAAAACCACCCAAATTACTAGAAAAAAAAATCAAAATAAAGAGCATAAAAACAAGTATGACTTATTAACGAAGATATTTTCAGGAAAAAGCCGAAAACATATACCTCACTATTCCCTAAGCCTTGCATAGGGTTAAATTTGAAACCAGCCATATTGTTCTGCTGATATAAATCCTTTGCCGGTGCTGCATATGTCGCTTCTAAACAAAAAGCAAAAGTTCAAATCCAACCAATAACAGTGTGTATTAAAAATTTGAAATTTTACTACATTTTGTTTTCAATAGTATTACTGCTTCCAAGGTGAAAAAATTTTAAACTCTTTGTGCACGTTATGGTATAAGAACGAATGAAAACAATATGGATAGTGTGGAAAACACTCGCATGACAGTACCATCACTAAGAAGACGGCAGACGGGCAGGATATTTTATTAGTGATGGTGCATGAGCAGATTTTTATGGGTAAATAAAGCAGCTTTAAATGGCCACCACGGCATGAGATGAACTATGACCCGAAAAAAAAAAAAAAACCACTCAAATAATGAGAAATGATCACTTATAAGAACAACTCAACTTAAATATATCCCGTAAACAAGTTCCATGAATTGGTCCATCCCGAAATACCATAACATGAATTCATTAATTACCCAACATTACAATCTGTCATTCACAATGTTAATAGGAATATCTAAGCTCTACATATCGAAGAAGTAGCTAATCAAAATGCTGTGTTATAAATATTATTTTAAATCTGAAAATCGTTAATGGCTTAAAACATATCATGTCAGAATTTGAGCTATACCTCGTGTGATAGATAAGTTGTGGGCTGAAGGTGTTCACTATTGAACAATTACCGATAATACTACTGCTCAATTTTTTTTCCAAGTATTTAAACTATGACGTTTGTATAACAACTTAGGATGGTTTAAATCCAAACCATTTCTTATATATTAACCCGAACTCTATCACTGCATCACTTACACATGTTTATAATGAATCACTGATATTGGAAAAACCATTGATAAAAATGGCCGAAATCAGGTGATTAATGATGTTCTGGTTGGGAAAAACGTGCATAATATAAGAAAAAAATCGAAATTATTGCTTAAAAAAGGCTGGAGCTTGATTAAGAAGAGGCAAACCTGAGACTGTTTGACGATTGCGATCAGAACTGCCCGGACACAAAATGGGCATAATTTACAATACAGGAAAAAAATGTGGTTTGTTCAAACCACGTCTTGAGGAAAAGATTAATGACAATAAAAGAAGAATAACTTTTCCTCCTCATAATTTGCTCAATATTATGAGTAATAGCAAAGAGGAGGAGGAGCAGCAGAAAGCAGGAATCCTTACTCATTTCAAAATAAGAGAAAAAGATCAGACCTTCACAAAGAAAGGAAGACATGATCTGAAAACAGGATTTTGAAAATCCAGGATTTCTTGAGAAATCCATATTTAGAAAAACCATCAGCTCTTTTTCCATCCTGACTTCCTACACTCTCCCCCTCTTTACTATTCGGGAATCATCATTATCAGTCCACCAAATCTCACCTAACGCTCTTTGCTGATTCGGCTGCCAAACTTGAGCAGCACCATGACTGATCTGTCCAAAATGGTTTTGCTGCACTGTTGGAGCACCACCAAACTGGGGCGCATTCTGGCTACGATTGCTGAAATCGAAGGGCTGAATCGTCTGGCCCTGGACACCACCACCCATTCCGTGCAACAAGCCACTAGCCGGACCAAAACTATCATCTTTATGATCAGGTATTGTTGCCATGGCATGTTGCGGATCTGCTGCTACCTTTTCCAAGACACGCTGGAGGGCATCCATGAGAACTTCATCCTGTTCAGCAGCTATCGTGATAATCCGTTCTTGGCTAACTTTAGCTTCCTGGCTGCCAGCTTTAGGATAAACCTGGATATTTGCCCCAGTCTGCTCACGAATTTCTTTGATACGCGCACCACTCTTACCGATCACCATTCCGGCCGAAGTATTTGGCACCACGAGTTTCATCTGAATTTTTGATGACTTTGTTTTATTAGAATCCTACCAGTCTTGGGTACACCTGCAGGTTTTGCACAGTCCGGATGAGGTTCCACGATCAACAGCAAAGGTCCAAATATTTTGTGATAAGGGGACGACCAAGTTAAAATTAACTAAAATAGTTCGTGAGATAAACATGAGTTAGATGGAAAACAAAGGTAAATTCTTAAAAGTTTAAGAATAGTTTATGGTAATCTAACAATGTAAAAGTGAACGTGCCCCATCAGGAACATGCAAAACAAATTCGCCTACTACCTAATCATTAGCAAGCACAAATTTTTGGAGGGAAAAGATTTTGAGGTTAAGAGAAGATCCGAATTCGTGTCTTCAGATAAGCATTATCGAAAGGTATTTGTGTGAGAGAGAATAGACTCTGACCACGAGAGGTAAGCTTTTCTGGAGCAATCTGTAAACCAAACTGATTAGAGAGTAATAAAAGATACTGAAACTTCGGGATTCAATAATGTTGGAACATATATTGAGAGCAAGATGATTGGCTTTCTACAACAAATTGATCATGAATTTTGAAAAAAAAAAAACTATTGAGTGAATATGTTTTTGGAAAATGAAGAGAAGAATACTGTAAAAATTCTAAAAACAGTGGAAAACTGAATTCGAAGAGAACTGGAATTTCTCGAAATTCAAATTTTCAAAAACAAATGTAAGATGATAATCTGAACGATTTTTCAGTTAGATTGTAGCAAAATGTGATAGAAAGCAATGTCAGAGCATTACGATATTTAAAATTCTTCCTCACCTCATTTTTGCGTTCCATTCCTTTATGATCGAAAATATCCGATGGGGTATTGTTGTCCACTTTCTCACGAATCTTTTCCAAAATAACATCGGAAACTTTTAGAACAGATGCAATTTTCCCCTTTACCAAACAAATCCGCTCATTAGTTCCTAAACACTTCAAATGTTATGTGTCCAGTTATTAATCAGTCGAATGAATAAAGTGGTTAGCATACCTGGAGGTAAAATCCCTGACGCGGTCAGCGTAAATACTGCCTACAAATGATCAACTGCCTAAATAACAGATGCTAGTAACTCATCAGTCATTTTTAGGTGATCCATTAGTAAAAAGATTCGTTTGGTTTAGCTAATGCCAGAAGTGATAGAGTATCAATCGTGTTTCTTAGATGTGGATAAGATATATTTTATCTGATGGGAAGGATATCAGGTCAAGCAAAAAATAAACAATCCTCATTTTGAAAATAGACTGGTTTTCCATCTGAATAGCAGTTTATGAGAAAGTAAAGAGAAACCTGGATATACTTCCTGATTTTTACTCATTTGCAAACGGCAGCCAGATTCGCTTTTTAAATTACGCATTGTTTCTCCACCTTTGCCGATCAAAGCACCAACAGCTGCCGAAGGGATTAGTACCTTTACCTGCACCATGTTGTCTAGAAAACAAACAGTCAAGACGTTGTCTGAATTTCATACAGTGAATATCATTATCCAATAAAATTCTTTCAAAATCTCTCCAAATTCAAAAAGAATGAAAAGTATTACAATTCAGAATTCTTGAATAAAACTCAATTATTAACACCAAACTTTCACAATTCTTTTTTCGCTAGCCAACCTGAGTCAATTTAAATGGGTAGGATTCCTCCCAAATAGCTGTAGAAAAGCTGCGAAGCGATGAAAATAATCCAAAATTTTGATTTTGAATCCCAATTCCTAATACATGCTACATCCTTTTCACGAACCGAATAAATGTCACATCCTTTTCACGAAAAAAAAAACTTTTCAAATTCATTTCCAAAAGTTCGCAAAATTACCCTCTGTTTCTGAAACATGAGCTTTCTTCGTTGCTGGCCCACCACGCTCGTCACGACCACGTTTCTGTCCAGCCGAAAGAGTCCCTTGCATAGTAGCCGGATTGACTTCTACAATCGCACCAGAAAAACAAAACTTGCGATTCTTTTATAAGCATATGTATGTTTCTCATTTAACGACAGTATAGTTCAGTTTGATTTTTATAATTTAAACTTATCTTTGTGCTAAAAAAAATGGAACATAGACCACATCACACATAGTAGTTATGAATATGCGCTTACTTAATATTTAAATCCCAAAATTTGAGAGCTGTCCTACAATGTCTGTGGTCTCGAAGGTATAACTCCAAAGTGTAACTCTTTTTTCAAAATGGAGAAAAAATCTAGTTATTAAAATCTAAAAAAAGAGAAACTATACGAGTGAAACTATGAATTTTGTAAACAGTAACATTTCTCCTTTTTTCGATACTATTCTATCATAAAACTTTGCATTAACGTCATATTCGAAAAACCAAGGACAGTTATTCAAAACACTAGTCCGACAATATGGCTTCACCCTTAACGATGCAGTTTAAAATTTCTACTTTCATTGTTAGCGAATACTACCTAACAGCCAATGAAGAAGCAATTTGGAACACTAATCACTTCACTTTTATCCCAAACTTAAAACTTGAAAACAATTCCAGTTTTTACCATTATCTTTGTTATCGTCCATTATATCACCTTTAATATCGTTAGCCATCAGCTTCAAATTAAACACCTACAAGAAAAAAAAAACTGTGAAAAAAGAGTTTCGGAAAAAGTTATTTAGTTGAATACGTATAGAGGAATAAAAACAAGTACTCAAAGAATCACTGAAAATGAAATATACCGCTAAAGTTATTATTAATATAAGAAGATAAGTAAGTTGTTCTAAATGAATTGATTGCACCACAGAAATTAAATACTCAAACTAGCGAGAATAGCATCAACTCATCAAAATCAAGAATCATTCTATTCAAGGAATAGTATTTCCCTTGTAAAATTATTACATTAGACATAAATGTATGTAATTTAATCATATAACAAACTATTACTGCAAGTAGCTTCTACGTGTTTTAATTAACTGCGAACAAAAATTTAACTGGTATACTAAACACAGCATAATTCCCAGAATTTTAGTGAAATAAATATCATTATAGCAACATTTCATTAACTCCTATATATGATATATCAATATTAATAAATGGCAGTAAACATATCCAATTAGTAAAAATGCATCCAGCAAATACCATTTAACACCCCTGACTTTAAATATTATCCGTAACTCAAATCACTTCACCCTAATCAACAAGACACAGTGATAATATGCAATGACAATACACATCATGCTATTGCATTTCTCACAACCTTTAACCCCTTCTAACCACTTCTACAAGAAAAACTTCAACAAATCAGCCCAAAACACCGACAGAAGCACTGAGACGTCACCCACCACCACGCTGAGTATCCCTCAAATTATTTATCGATTGCTCATGACTGAATTTAACAGTCATCATTGCAGCCCGTGAAAAATTTCGACAGACCATTATGACAAACAATTTAACCCAATGAAAGCTGAATTACAATGTAATTAGCTGACTTTATTTATTGTTTTCGTCGGCCATTCCAAAATCTACGTTTAATTTTATTATCAGTAAAGTAGTTTTCTATATCTATTGATATCATGTGCTATGTTTATAGCAATTTGTTATCAATATGTTTTCATACTTATCATTTTAGTATTATCTTTGATACAGTTTTTCGTTCATTGACACTGTAATAAGTTTATTCGGGATACCGTAATTTTCCTAATACTGTTAAATACACTGTTGCTACATCGTCGTACCGTAGTATTATGCGTTTTACATAATATCACTGAATAACTTTGCTCATTAGATTTAATCTATTTAATAGCGCTTATATTTAATTGTATTTAATGGTATTAGTAAGCTAATAATTAGTAATATTATTTATTAGCTAATGATCAAAAATCATTACAATGCTTTTAAATTGATGTTACCAGTTATTGATAAATAATTTGATTAAATGGACTCAATTATTTGAAGAAAGAAATAAAATAACAAAGACAGTTTGTTTGCTTTATAAGTTTTTTTTTTTCAAAAAAATTTTTTTTATTTAGTACTTATGTTACTATTTAATGATTTTTTATCTCCAATTTGCATAATCTTATTGGATGCAAGTTAACTTGTAAAAGATAAAACTTTTGTAATTATTTTATATAGTGCATTAGTTATGATACTAATAATTATTCAAAAATTAGTGACTAATGTTTTTATTTGAGAATTTTTCATATGTGAAGAATTCCTTAATATAGTTGTTTAAATAATAATATTTATAAAATAGTTTTGTTTCCTTTTTTTTAACTCTGATATTAAGTTTGAGGATGAAGAAATTGTATGCAAAATGAAATGAATGAGAAGGCAAATGATAAATGATAATAAATTGGGAAGAACTTAAGAATAGTTAGATTCTCCTTGATGCTAATAAAAATGGAAATAAAATGAAACGATGATCGGATTTATTCTAATTTATACTTCTTAAATTTCATTTTTCTTTTTTTTTCGCTTAATTTTTGTAATTAAGAAATCTGAAATTTTTTGCAGTCTAATATGCAATATAATGAAATGATAAAATTTTTTTTTTCCTCTTTTACTGAAAATGTGTTTTACTCACTGACAATGGTTTACAGTGATTTTTTTTTTTCCTTTTTGTCAATTAATTAATATAAAGCAAATTTCACGCATTAATTCATGTTATAGTAATCAGTAAATTTGATCAACGTTATATTGATAATGAATAATTCAAATTGAAATTGAAATAAATATCAGATAGTTTAGTTTTTGAAATTTTAGTTAGACGGTTTATTCAATTAACCAATTGTTTTTTCCAATTTATTTTTACTGGTAGCCAAACTACGTCGTCGATCAATCTCTCCAGTGATTCGTCTGATTTCTACCAGATATTCTTTCTCACATTCATTGATTACTTCTCTCTTGTTGTTACATTTTGTTGCACCCGATAAGCACATATAATACTCCAACTAAAATTCATCTAATTTTACTTTAAAAAAGAAATGAAAAAAGGATTGCAATATTGAAAGATAACAATCATTGATTGATAATAATGCAATAATAATTATCGTTGTTGTTATTATTATTGTTACTAATTATTAATATTATTAGTTATTAATTTATTACTCTTTGTAAATAGTAATACAAATATTGAAACAGAAATTGATTACATTCTTGTAAGCAAACCTCTAAGTCATCTTCAAATTCCTTACAGTATTCTTCAGCATATGTTCGCATTATACAAGCCGGAAAATTTAGGCTAAAATAAGTTACATTTTTTTTCTTTTTTGTAATTTGAAATATTCTAAATTAAACCATAAGAACAATTCGGACAATAATATTGATTGCACTGAAATTTTCCAAATTTCGACTTTATTTGAATTTTGGTTATTTTCAGCTTTTGCAATTATCATTTTTGATGATCAGTTAGTGTAACCGAAAGCGATGCAATGTATCAGTGATTGATAATATAACTTTTAACTGATTACTAATCAATGGCCTTGATGTAATCTATAATTTTTGATGCATTAATTAATTTAATGCTGAATAGAAAATATTTTGAAACTATCATACTTTTATCATTTTTGATGCTATCATATTTTTATACACTTTTGATTATATTTTCCTTTTTTTTTTTTTTCATTGTCAATTAACATACTCGCATATTCCTTTCTGCGGATTCCATGTGGTAATATTGTAACAATGTTTTTGTATTTTATGACACAAAATATGTTTCATCGCCCTACTGATCAACTGTTTCAGGACAATTGATGTCCATCGCATTCCGGATTTAGCGCAATCTTCTGTAAGAGCATTTCAATGATAAAATATTTGCATTAATTGGAAATATATAATTGGAAAAAAATTACTGAATGAATGTAATACAAACCAATTACAACTGCAATTTTTTCTAGAAATTCACCATAACCCGGTTCATCGATACAATTTGATGAAACGACCAGTTCGGTCATACATTCAATTGAGAAATATCTAAATTAAAGTTTAGAATTACAATTATATAATTTAAAGCTTTAATTAATCTGTAATGCTAAATTACAAGTAAAGACAGAGAATAGTGGAATAATAATATGACATAGGATATAGGTCAATCAATGAAGCAAAATTTATCTAAAGTAATGAGGAAGCAGAAATATATATTCAAGACTTATCGTTTGGTATATTTCCCGGTAAATAATAATATGCGGTCGATTTTGTAAAATTTCTTGTATAATAATTACAAACTTTCGCTCTTATTCACAAAAAAAAAAAATCTAAAATGGAACTTTTTTTCATTACTCTTCACATAATCCAACAGGTGGAATAAATGGAATCATACTCCAATGATTAGTGCAATTTAAAACTGCTTCGTGACATCTGTCATCGGTAATATCTTAAAAAAAACAAAGGAAAACTTTTTTTAACTCAAATATACCCATATTTTTGGTTTTATTTGAAAAATTCAATTTTACTTAATGAAATTTTTCCATTAATACTATAATCATTTTGCTAAGAGATGAATCTATCAAATGATGTTATTTTCATTTCTCTCGTTTTTTCTTTCTTTTGTGAATTTTTTGTTTCAAAAGGGTTTTTTTTTTTTAATTTCAGATTTAAAATAATCTTCGTGAAAATTTTAATTTAGAAGAACATGTCTTTTGAAAAATTTTTGAATATCATTTAAATCATTGAACTTTAATTTAAACTTCTGATATCAATAGAATTTCATGTACTGTGTGAAAATGTTGGTCATTTTTAGTATTTGAACTATGAACATTTGTTGTGATTAAAAATTAAAAGCAATGATTAAACATTGGATGAAATGCAAATATTACAAAATTCAAAAAGTTTTCTTGTCGTCCGCAGATTGTACATTTCTATTTTAAAAAAATAAAATAATTTTGCTCGAAAGAAAACACACTGATTGTTTTTTTTCCAAAATTAATATTTTTAAACTTACAATGATCAATATTTTGCTCAAAAAAATTTTGCGCAAATGTCATTTGTAAACTAATAGTTGACAATAGCGCAACTGAAAATATCAATTGGCGATACATTATTGTTATAATTGTCATTTGCTCCTTTTTCTTTCAGTTTTTGAATTCCTTTTTTCTTCTTTTAACTTTCGCACAACTAAGTGGCAACAATATCTTTTGTAAAAGAATTTAATGAAAATAATTTAGTAAACCGCAAGTTTAGTTTTTTATAGTATTTTCTTCCAGTAATTTTATGCAAAATTGCTAGTCATTAGTGAATTTCCCTATCGATTGAAATTATTTTAAAATGTCAAAAATGTAAATTTTAGATTAAAATTTTGCAGGGAGAAAATATTTTATTGCTTTTTTGTCTTTGCTCTCTTTAATAAATAAATTGCATCAAAAAATTTATAAAGGAATGGAAAAAAAAAATGAAAAATAGGATATGAAATTCTATTTGGCAAATATTGCTGACATTTGAGGATTTTAAAATAATAAATTAAGTTGTGTGTATGCAAGACATGCATGCATGCATATGCGTGCACAAATGTAATGCACATATGTAAGTTCATAGTTATCATTTCTACTGGATTATCATTCATATCAATTAATCATTCAATTAGTCAATTTGCATTTTCATTGGGAATGAATCACTAAAGAGATCATTTTTTTTTGAAAGATTTTTCTATCGTCGCAATCAATGAGTCGAGATATTTCTCGTAGATAATTTGAGCGCCATAAGTTTGTGGTAGAGATAGGTACAATAGGAATATCACCTGAAAATAATATTTTTTACATTTAATTGATTTAATTTTTCTTTTCTGAGCAAAAAAGTATTTATGTAATTTTTTTTCAAGAATTAAAATAAAGAAATTAAATACATTGGAGGAAAATTAAAAATCAAATTGTGAGAATTCATTACAGAAATGTCGAAATTAAATACTGCTAGTGTGAAAACAAAAAAAAAAAAAAAGTTATTATATCGAAAATAAATGTATGAGTCATTTTCAAAGCAGTTTATATAAATAATAAGTGAAGTTTTAAATTAAGTTTTAAAAAATTAAAATTTGATAGTGAAACTGAAAGATATTTAAATTTACTTTAACTATCCAATACAATGGTACAACACGCATAATTGCTTCAGCAAAGAAATCAATCAGTGAATAAAATGCAAATACCGTCCAATAAATTAACCATTGTGTATCATCGTCCTTTTGCTCAGTTCGAATTGCCTAAATTAGTTTGATGGATTTTAAAATTTTAAACTAAAATGGATAATTACCTATTAATAACTCATTGTATTTCAAAATTTACATTTTTTTTAAAACAATTTTCAACCTTATCAAGCATTTGCCATTTAGATCTGCAACAATTTTATCATTCTTTAAATTTATGAACATAAAAATAACACTAATTCGAATTTCTATCTTAATTAGCACTTAAGCATTTTCTATTATTTACTTACTTACCTTAACTGAAGCATATGCCGGATAACCGAAACCGATTAAATTGCAAACAAGCTGTGCCAGTGAACCAACAGCCAGATAGATAGCAATAAGGCCCATCATACCATATGTTAGCTTTATAATTTAAATTTTATAGTAAAAGAGTTGACAGAGAGAAAGAGAGAGATTTTTTTATTTTATCAATTCTTTCTTCTCTTTCTTAATTTTGCCAAATATTTTAAAAATTTCGGGAAGAACTTTAAAAGTTAAGATTAATTGATCAGAAATAAATTTGTGCAAAACATTTAAAATTAAAAATTTCCTTCCGCTTCGTTTCATTATCATCTTATTTTGATAAATATTAAATTAAAAAGAAAAAAAGCATTTACATTCCTATTTATTTGATTTCTTTTCCTTATTAAATTATTATAAAAGAGTTCCATTCCGTCTTGCTTTTGCTTTTTCCGCTACTATAAATGTATTCCGTTCCGGTAGTGCTATTTCATTTTGTCTTTATTTGATTTGATTTGGTATTGAAATATTGCAAAAAAATTTTAGGAATTATTCACTTGTTCACGTGGTAATTGAGTTTTTGCTTCCAGTGCGGACAATATTTTATCCAATTGTACATTACTTTTATCATATAGGATACTTTTAAGTGCTGGTACCAAATCATTGAAGGAATGTACGGTAGCTTTTTCAGTACCTTTTAATTTGCCACCTTTACTACCTCCACCACCACCGCGCACTGTTGGTGACGCTTGTAAACTCATTGAGATTGGAAGATCTGGAAGTAGGGATATTAATATTTCAAATGCAAACTATGAATTAAATTCAGTGAAATAATTAGCTGAAGAGATTTTTCCAATTATAATCAAAAATTTTAATCATAATACAATTTCCAAAGATTTTAATAAATTTAAATTTACAACTCTAAATAGCTGTCAATTTTAGGTTATCTTTTAATAATTTTGTGAAATATTTAAATGATTTCTAATTCTTTAAAAGCAAATGATTAATTAATTAGCATAATTTACTTTTTTTTTTTCATAGATACAAATGTGAAAGGGATGAAATCTAAAATTTTATGAATGTAGTAAGCAACTTCAGTAATTTTCAATTTAATAATTATATTAAAATGAATAATTTGACAATTTTAAATTATTTGAATTACCTGAATTAGAAAAATGAACTCAATCGTATTTGAACAGAATATTTCAGCAACAGCCGAATCGATGATGTGCAACTGTATTCCACTAATTAGTAATTTGTTAATGTTTTTATAAAGAATTTTGAAGCATTTTATACTGTGTGATTGAGATGTATGATCTTTTATGCAAATTACTTTTTAACAAATTTAAACTTTTATATGCCAATTTGAATTCATTTTCCGTGTTGAATTTGTTAATGAAAGTGTGAATATTTGATTGAAAATAAAATTTTTTGATTAGAAATCTTTCTCTCTCGTAGACAATATAATTCTAAAATGGAAAAAAAAAAACCAAAAACAAAATTTTACTTTTATTATGAAACATTTTTCAACTGCGACAAATATTCATATAATTTGAAGTAAGCAAATCAATGGTAATAATAGTAATAGTAGCAGTAGTGGAGTAATACTTAAGAATGGATAGTAGTAGAGTAATACTTAATTATTTCTAGGTTATTATATAAAGTATCATAACTAAGTGTTCGACTAAATCTATCAAAAATCTGAGCTTATTAACGAGGTAAGAAGCATAATCAAACATTCATTATACATCATTGTTTAGTAAAAATATAAAATGAAGTAGTAAGACCAATATCGTATAGGAAAATTTTCTTATATTTTTTGAGAGAGAAAAAAATGATAGTGATAAATTTATAAATTTAAAAAAAAAAAATCAAATTCGAAATTTCTTTATTGAAAATTATATTTTGAAAAAGAAAATTATTTGTTTTCTGCAAATAAATTTCTAAAATTGAATTGGTGAAGTAAAGGAAATATAAAATTTAGGAGAAAAACACGACGGAAAACAATGTAAAGCAAATTTGGCAAATAAATTATTTTCAAAAAAAAGAAAAAAAAGGAACAGAAAACATTTCATAAACCAAAGATATTATCGTTTTATTTTCGTTTTTTTAAGCCACTTCTTACAACTGAGTAGCATAAATTACCTGCACCACAGGTATAACCTGCCGGACATTGATTATTGATGCAAGGACCTGAAAGTATCAAATGGGTAAAAGAAATCAGAGTAGAAAGATTTTGAGAAATTAAACTTAAACTTTTTTCTAAGCTTGTTAATTTGTTAATAAATATTTAGCACTTAATGTGAAGTGATCAGAGGCTAAATGGCTAACTTATTATAATTAATTATAATAAATTTATCGTAGTAAGATAAAATAAGTTAATATAAAAAAAAAAAGAAAAAATGAATAAGAAAATGACACAAATAGTATAAATTGTACCAAGTACAGCACCGGAACCAAGTGGACAACAATAATTATTGACATTGCATGAGTAGCCAGCTGGACATAAGTTATTGATACATGGACCTAAGATTAAAGAAAGTTAATTCTTTTCATTAATTTCAAGATTACTTCTTTCATGAAAACTAATGCAATTTAATAATGGGAAATTTTAAAAATTTATTCAGTTATGTAAATTTAGATAAATGATTTTGTAAGTGAGAACTTTTTAAAATTTCATTTGTAATTAGTGATAGTAATCTCTTTTCTCTATTTTTTTTAAACCACTTTCATTCCCAGTTTCTAAAATTAGTGTTCTAGAAAAAAAAAATTTTTTTTAATTTAAATATTCGATTTATCAATTAACAAATCTTAACAATATGACAGTGATATCATATAATTTCATTAGAATAATTTAAATTTAGGAATGAATCTATTTGACTTCCACATGCTACTTTATTAAATCATAAACTTAAATTTGCTCCGCTTATTAAACAATATATGGAAGTGATTATTTGATAATTTTGTAAAACATTTACCGGTAGAATTTCCGGAAGCACAACGACAGCAAAAACCTCGACTGTTACAGAAGAAGCCTTGTCCACAAAGTCCATTGATACATGCTGCTACGGCTGGTCCTCCATCACATGCTGCTGAAAATATATTACATCCTCACTTCTTCTTCTTTCCTTAATTCTCTTCCTACTAATACCAAAAGCTAATTAAAATTTAAATTATTGTTATGAATTTACTGTAAATTAAGTAACTAAGGTTAATGGACAGATCAATTAGTTAATTAACCGAATTAATTAAATTTAATGAAACAGTTTAATGACTGAATTGATAGTAGACTAAATTACTATATGTGTATGCTATAAGTTGTTGCTATGAATTGCTGTGAAGTAAATAAACAAATAACAAATTAAATACTACATGTCAAATAAATAAGAAAGTGAATAAATAATGGAAGGAATTATTTGAAATCGTTATTTATAATTATTATTATTAGTCATTTTTTGTGATCAAACTAATAGGTGACATTATATTTTATATGATAAAACTGAGAGACAGTTTAAAAAATTTTTAAATATTGAAATTGCATAAAAAGTAATTGAAAATATTTTTCTTTAATTTTCTCTTTAAAAATTTTATGAAGAAAATTAAATTAAAAAATTAATTTAGAACAAACTCACTTGAAAGACTGAAAATATTCGATTGACTTGGTGTAATTGGTACTGGAATTGGGATAATATTAATGCTTCCAGGATTGATGACTGCTGGAATATTATTGTTTGGCATTGTAGCTGGACAGCAACATGCATGAATGCAAATCATTCGAGGTGCAACTTGCTGACATTGAGAACTTGCATAACAACTTGCAAAACATCCCGGTGGACAATTTTGCATGTACTGTCGTTTAAATCGATTTAAAACTAAAAAAATTAAATTTAAATTGTTTAATTAGAATAAAACTGGGCAATAAAACAGTTCTGCAATTCATTTTTTTTTTCAGTTTAGTCTATCAATGTGCTAAAAGATTATGCATTTTTGAATAACTTGACAATAAATTTGCATTATTTTAATATAGAATTCAATTATTGAATTAAGACAAAAGATAAGCATAAATTAAACTAATTACTTAAATTACTAATTACTTAAATTACTTAGTTTTACATTCCAATACATACTTGGATTTTTTTTCTTGTAAAACGATTCCTCATTATTACCATTTTATTTTAAGAACAAACATCTAACTTATTTTACTTCATTTACATCATAACAAATTTATTTTAACTAAAATAAAAAAATTTATAGAAAAATAATTTAATTAATTTAAATTTACATGAAGTATTTCCATTTATGTTGTCATTATGTTCATTCAAAATTGCTTCATTTGCAACAGTTTCAGACGAAATATTCGTAATCATCATGAGAAACATTGAGACATGTAATGAAATCGCCAAATTTGCTCCAATTTGATACATTTCTATTCTTTTTGCACTTCAGAAATTCATGTAAAAAAATTTTTATATTTTCACAGCGAACAAAAAAAAATATAATTAGAAGTAAATGATAAATGCGCGAAAAAAAAAACGATTAATTAGTTTTTAATTTAAGAAATATTAGAACTTATTATAACTATTGAAAAAAACTTTTATTGTTGCATTTTTTTTTATTTATTGAAATTAGTACTTTTTTTTTAAATTTTTTAAACTAAACTATTACATCCATCTCATTAACTTGTTTAGCAATTATTACCTCACTATGATATCACATAATCATCAATTTTAGTGTATTAATTGATCATGTTGAAGTGAAGCATACGTAGTTGGGTAAATATACTCAAGACTCAAGGGTACTGTAACTTAGATAAGGATACTGTAGAGACAGTAATTTCCTTATAAAATTCATCTTTAGCATGGATGCTTTTATGTCTGTACATTTTCTGCAGCTCATTTTAACGTGTCGTATCTTTTTTTTTGATTATTATTGTGCTACTGATTGGAATGCTTTACCATATAATAAAATAAATTGTTTATAAAATATTTCAGCCATTTGCTTTTAAACAACAAAAAAAAAAAATACTTCTATATTATAACAATAAACAATAATGATATAATTTAAAATCAAATTTTTTTTAGATTATAATTCTTATTAAACTTAATAAGTATTTTAATGCATTTCAATCAATAAAAATATCTTTGTTTACTAATTGAATACACATTTGGGCATAATGCAAAAAAAAAAAAAGACAAGGAACAAATAAAATTCACCTTTTCTACTAATTAATGTTAATGAAAAGCTGATTAAATGAATTAATTATACGTATACAAATAAGTATTGAATTTAATAAAGTGACCATCAAAGCTAACAGTGATGAAAATGGTACTTATCCCAAAGTCAAATCAAACTTCTTCACTCATCTCTTATTTCATACTTCTCTTTTCTCCTTCTCCCTCCTCTCTCTCTCTCTCTCTCTCTTTCGTTTTAAAACTGGACAGTTCACTGTACTTGTTTATTGAGCATTTAAGAAGACGTGACGCATCGTAATCCTAATCATTTAAAGCTAATAAAACTTCACCTCCATTTCACTATATCTTCATTAATGTTACAAACCTTATATCGTTATACTTATACATATTATTTCATTCTATCAATTTTTTAAAATTCGATTTTAATTTTATTTATTATTAGCATAGCATTTTATCTGCAACAACAGAGATTATCTCAATACGATGTGATTTAATGATTTATTCTTTACTATTGAATTTAAATTCATAAAATTCAGAACTGATTCAAATCAAAATTTATTAACCAAAAAATTGGACAATCAAGCAGTAATTGTGAATAAAAACGATTGGATAAATGAATGAATGCATGAAAAAATATGAAAATAAATGTAGAAGAAAATAATGATTTTGAATATTAGTACAAATCAAAATGAAAATTAAAAAATAGTGGATCAATAGTAGAATTGAAAAATTAAAGTGAAAAATAAAAAAATAGAATGGAAATGAACAGCAAATAAATGGAAATAAAAAAATAAAGATAGGAATAAATGAAAAATTATGGATTTATTAGGTATAAATAAAATATTTTTATATTTATTAGTGCAATACACTGAGTGAATAAAAGAAATAGCAATAAAAATATTTCTTTTAAATTTATTTATTTTAACAAAAATATGCAATTATTCTTGTATTGCTTAATCAAATATCAAATTTAGTTCCAAAAAATTCAAAATCTATTTTGCTACTAAGTATAACACACATATTTCGTAAGGTTGAAAAATGCTATAGGAAAAAAGTATTATGAATAACTTATCCGATAAGTAATTAAAGATTTTGGAATAGACAACATTTTTCTTAATTAAATTCTTAAATTCATCATAAAATATGATATTTATACATAAATTTCAGCAAGTTATAATTAAACATAAACAGATTTATTTGACATATTGTAAATTAAAATGATTAAAATGATGATATAATACTATTAAAAACTGAAGATGGCAAGAGTGAAAGTATGAAATGTTTGGTGAACAAATGAAGCCATCAGTTGTCAGACAGGAGAAGAAAGATTTAATTATTTAATGAATGTTTTGAACAATTTTAATTCAACGAAAAAATGTATTTTTAATTTGTCGTCTGTCCCAAAGATTGCTTTTTCATTATACCAACTAGAAAATTTTTTATCTTTTCTTTAAATTGATTCTGAATGATTTAATGAATGAAGCAATTAATCGATGTAATTACCAATATTTAATAAATTAGTAATAAAAATAACTGTAATTAGTAATAATTATCAAAAGAAAAAGATTTTAAAATATAAGTAAAAATATCTCCTTTTTTCTGCTAATGCGAATAAATATTACAATATATTATGAGGTACTTTTAAACTAGATCAAAAGACCTGAAATTTAATATTCAAATGAAAATGGCAAATTGTGTGTGTATGTGGTGAATGTTTGTCTGTGTGTGTGTGTGTGTATGTATGTATGTTTGTATGTAAAAAACTTGCTTACCATTTTGAGCATTTCCAGTTTTATTTAACAATCAAAGCAAATTTAAGAGATCAAAATGTATCCATGATTAAAATTAAGCTAACAAAATTCTTCTTTTAAAAATCATTTCAAATGGAACTTTTGAATAATTAACACAATTCTTTCTGAATTCTGGATTTACTTAATTTTCAAAAATTTATCAAAAATTTTAAAAATAAAAAATATGTTTTTCCTTTTTTTTTTTTAAGATGACGAATAAAATAAAAATAAAAATGTTAATTTAATTCTATATATTGTTTTGCAAATTTTTTAAATCCCAATTATAATCCAATTAAAAATTATAAAAATCAAAAAAAGTTTTTCTTCGAAAAATAATTTTTTAACGAAATAAAACAAATAGATGGAATAAATAAATGAATGAATAAAATGGAATTTACAAAATTAAATATACGATAGGAATGAAGTGCTATATGTATATATTTGCTTCTAAATTGACAACAAACTAAAGAAAACTAGTAGTTAGACAGAAATTTACGCTGGCATTATTGAAGAACCTGTTTTAGTGCTTACTTGAATTCGATACAATTCAAATATACGATCCAGAAATGACTGAGATATGCATACGTTGTCATTACTCTCTGCCACTAAATTAAATCACTTCAGAAATGTACCATATACCATGCATATATATACAAATAGTAATAAATGGTTAATTACAAATTTTGATGAAAATAACAAATTTTCAAAATTTGTTTACTTATTCATTTTTCCTTAACTTAACTCAATAGAAAAGGAACGAAAAATTACTAAAAGATAGCAAAAAGATTTCTTCTTTGCAATGTAAAGAAAAATGAGAAATATTTGAAATCGTTAAATGAATTTGTTTTAGTGACTAATGCAATTAGGCTTACTGTAATTGTACAGTATGACATTATGGTATCAAACTGGCTACTGTGACAGTACGATATGAAATTGGTTGACATCAATCGAGCATTTGAATATTTTTGAAGTTTTTTCTTTTAATTTTTTGTGATGAAAAGCAAGAATCAGTAGCTCTAAACGTGTGAAATTTTAAAACGTCGTTTTACTGCCGGCTTTTATCAATTTTTTTTTTTTTTTTTTAGAACTTGCCATATTTCAGGTTCTTGAAGTAGTTCATTTTAAAATTTATAATTATTCTCAAATATTGTTATATTTTACTATGACAGAACAATTTTTACAATGTTATTTAAAAGGAACTCTTTTTTTTTTATATCTTCATAAATTTTGCTTTTGTTGCTTTCAAATATAATTTCAAATACTTTTAATTCAATTTTAGATGCACAAACCATTTTTTATCAAATTTATAATGTTGCATTTAGTTTTTTGTTCTTTCTTTCTTCAGTATTTACATTCATTTTTGTTTCTCTTATTTTGAAAACAAATTAGACGAATAATTATTTATATGAAAAAAGCAACCAGTATAAATTAAAATTGAAAAGTAATAATATATTCAAATCGAATAGATAAATATTTGGGTGATACTTTTGAAATCAATTTAACAAATTGGATATACTCACTAATAAAATGATTATAGAGACTGAATTATAAGAAAACTGAAATTTAATAGTTTTTAGTTTTAGTTTCATTTGTTTTTTTTTCTTTTTTTATTGTCCTAATTGAGATTGATAAAAAGTAATCGAGAAAAAATTACTGGAAAAAAGTTTTTTTGAAATCATTATTCAAACTATAAATAAAATTTAGGTATTATCGAGAATTATTATTGATGAAATGATTGATGTCTTGTAAAAACCTTTAAATTTAATAGTGAAATGTAAATATTATATTTGAAATAAACATTACTTTTCATCGAATCTTCAACACCTTCTAATCTGTTTACCAAACAGATGGTACATTTCCTTTA